CAGCTCCATGTCCCCAGCAGCCCACGGTTTAGGGTTTAGGGTTTCGGGTTCAGGGTTTAGGGTTTAGGGTTTCGGGTTTAGGGATTAGGGTTTAGGGTGTAGGTTTTAGGGCAGCGCAGAAAAAGCCTCAATCTGATTGGAGAATCCTGCAGCCCACGAAGCTCTAAACCCGAAACCCTTCTGCACCCCCCAAGCCTAAACTTGATGCTCTGAAGTCTAAGCCAAACCCAAAACCCAAAACCCAAAACCCAAAACCCTCAACCTTAAACCCTAAACCCTAAACCCTAAACCCTAAACCCTAAACCCTAAACCCTAAACTCCCCTAAACCCTAAAACGTTCAGGGCTCACGACAGCTGCGGCCAACGCTGGTGACCTGCAATGCGGCCATGAGCGCCTGTGAGAAGGCTCTGTAGGGGGGTATTTGGGTAGTTATAAGTAGGGTTTAGGGTTTAGGGTTTAGGGTTTAGGGTTCATGGGTAGTTATAAACGGGGCTATAAGTAGAGTAACTATACCTATAACCCCTATTGGGGGACTTATAACCCCACTTATAACTACCCATGAACCTCCAAGTAGAGCGGAGCTGTCTTCGACTATAACGGGGCCTTCGGCTGAGGGTTGGGGCAGGGTTTAGGGTTCAGGGGTTTAGGCCCTAGGGTTGAGGATAATCCTCAGAGTTGAAAGCTTCACCTCGGCGGGGGGAGGGAGCAAAAAGGTCTCACTTCTTCAGGAGTGTTTCAGCGTTGAGAGTCTCGGATGAAACAGAAGAACTTGTTGCAATTAGGCTCACATTTGAGAGGCGTGTCTCGTATACCCTCCCATGGCAGTTACGGTAGAACTCCACGAGCTCGCGCAGTTTTTGCAGCATGCTCCCAAGGCAGAGCTCTGGCACGAGGCACTGCATCTCTTCGACGAGGTCGGGCTAAGGCAGTCGTGTCTCATAGGGCTAATTTGGGAGAGCCCAAGACGGTAGATTTTGGAGACTGCCATTGTCAACCCTAAACCCTAAAACCTAAACCACAGTTCAGAGCTGGATCCTTCCAGAACCCGTTCCCAAGACGACATTCGACTCGGTGCCCAAGCCTTCTTGACTCTTGGATGTCCCCCCCCTCTCCCCAATGATATCCTTCCAAAAAACACAAGGGCACCCTGGCCTGAAGCGCCGCGTACAGAAGGAGAACAAGAGCCCAAATCACGGAGACAGCTCAAGAGGTGTTGAGTGCAGATCCGGGAAGAGAACATAGGACCTTGTGTTTTGCTCCTGAACCGCGCCTTGGAAGAGACCCTCCAGCCATCAGCCACAGGGGGGGGCGCTTTGTGCCGTTTTTTGAGCTGACACAAAACCCTAAACCTTGAACCCCCCCCCCCCAAAGCCCTCAAAGCCCAAACCCTTAGTGGCCTCCCCAAACGAGCCCCTTAAAGCGAGGCATGGAGATGCGGCCTGGAAAGGGACGTGATCTCTTTCAATGCTCTGCTGAGCGCTCTGGGCAAGCGCTTGGAGTGGGAAAAGGCCCGAGGGCTAAGAGTTTCGGGGCTTTAGAGGTTTCGGTTTAGGGTTCAGGGTTTAGGGTTCAGGGTTTAGGGTCAGGGTTTAGGGTTTAGGGGTTTAGGACTCAAGGATTTAAGGTTTGAGGCTTGGATGTTGAACTTGGGGTTCCTGACTGTCTCTACAGAATGTTTTCAGGCCTTGCCAACTCTTAGCGAGGCAACTGAAGCTCGAGGTCCCGGATTTCCCGGGCACAGGCGCTCTTCCTGTTCTTTGACCTCAAGGCCAGAAGATTGCGGCCGTCGGCTGTGACGCACCCCGGCTGTATGAACCCTAAACCCTAAACCCCAAACCGCGATGTGGGCTGCTGTGTAGGGTTGAGGAGACAGAGCCGTAGGGGGTTCGGGATGAAGAAATCTACAAGAGGATCCCAGGAATCGCGGTTAGCAGGAAGGAGGCAGCTCCAAACCGACCGGACTTCCTCAAGCTTGAACAATCCCCTGCACAAATACGGGCTAGATGCAACCACAGTGATTG